ACGCACGCACGCACGCACGCACGCACGCACGCACGCACGCACGCACGCACGCACGCACGCACGCACGCACGCACGCACGCACGGCACGCACGCACGCACGCACGCACGCACGCACGCACGCACGCACGCACGCACGCACGCACGCACGCACGCACGCACGCACGCACGCACGCACGCACGCATGCACACGCACGCACCCACACACACACACACACACGCACACGCGCACACGCGCGCACACGCGCGCACACACGCGCACACACACGCACACACGCACACACGCCCCGCACGCACGCACGCACGCACACCCGCACACCCGCACACCCGCACACGCGCACACCCGCGCACCCGCGCACCCGCGCACGCGCGCACGCGCGCACGCGCGTACGCGCACGCAGGCGCACGCACGCACACGCACGCACACGCACGCGCACGCACACGCACGAACACACGCACGCACATGCACGCACACGCATGCACACGCACACGCACGCACACGCACGCAAACGCACGCACACGCATGCACACGCACGCACACGCACGCACACGCACGCACACGCACCCACGTCACGCACACAAAGCATGTTTCCGGTGTGACTGCTGGGGTGCTGGCCACGTGAACCTTTCTGGTTTACTTTGAGTCAGATCTAAATTGGATGCCCTGGCATGAGAAAAGCGCAGGCAATCAGCATGTCCAAGCAAAGGTGCGCAGGCCCAGGCATCGGTGCTACTTTGGCGGCAAGTCCATGCAAATAACCCTAACTTCCATCCAATCCATCCAGTGTGTGTGTGTGCGTGTGCGTGCATGTGTGTGGGTGTGTGTGTGTGTGTGTGTGTGTGTGTGTTTTTCTTTGTTTTTGAGTGTATCGGTTTCTTGGCCGCCACTCCGTTTTGGGTCCTCTGCGAGACAAGCCAGGTGGGGCTGCGTGGTGGTGGACGAAGTTCATCAGGCCAAGAACCCCAAGGGCCAGCTGCATAAGGCTGGTGGGCACGGGGAACCTCGGGCTTACCTTACTCCATTTGGGCGTCGATTTTGGGGATGACAACAAACTGGGCTCTCTTGAACACCATCCAAAAAAGGAGCCCACAAAAGAAAGACACACCCATTTGCGGTGTTGTTCTGGATGAGGTGGGGATCCAAAAACCAGTTGCTCCTCAGCCTTGGCTCTAATCACGATCGCCACAAGCAGGTTGAGGCAAAGTCAACCCCTGGGAAGCCTTTGCTAGTGGGATAAGTTTTAGCTTGGCGAATCTTGCAGAGAGTTCTCAATGTCGTGCAGCTTCGGGGCATGAGACTAGTATTGCAGCGTTGACTATTTTGGATTGTTGTGCTACCTCTTGCCACATGGCTGTGGCTCCAAAACTGGTAACCGCACATTGAAGACGGTGTATGGGAGCAAGACGAAAACCCGCGTAGCACCGGCGGTTTGCAAGTTTCGAGACGCTTGCCGCACGGGAGGCCATTGTTGCCCTTCACAGCGACCGCAAGCTGGGCCTCACAGGTGGGCGCGTGAGGGAAACGAGGGACGAAACCGAGTCGTGCTTCGGCGTCACCGATGGCCCAGTGAAATGGCCGGTGAAATGGCTCGTAGGTGTCCCGAATCTCAGTCTCTGTGTGGAATTGAGGTATCCTGGACCCTCATCTGCAAGTGGGACTGTTGGACCGTTGGACTGTTGCAGTCTCACCATGTCTGAGCTCAACGCTTTGGCCAAAAGCATGGCGCTAGGCACCCCTCTGCAGAACAGCCTCAGCGATGCCAGGGCGCCAGGGGAGAGTGGTGAGCTGTACCTTCAAGGTGCCTAGCCATTAGTTGCAGCACTGCAAAGTGAAAGCGCGGAAATGGACGATTCTTTGCGTTTGAGGTGCACGAAAAATGGACGATCTGAACAAGCAGCACCTTGCTGTGAACTAGAGAGGGTTGTAACCACGACAAAGAACATGTTACAACGACAAAGAACATCGTTACACCGACAAGTTTCAGTGAAGACTATCCCGACATATTCCTTTCTATTGTCCTTCTTATTCTTTCTTATTCCGTTTATTGACCTTCTGATTCCTTCTTATTCCGTTCTATTGACCTTCTTATTCCTTCTTATTTCTTCTTATTGACCTTCTTATTCCTTCTTATTCCTTTTTATTGTCCTTCTTATTCCTTCTTATTCCTTTCTATTGATCTTCTTATTCCTTCTTATTCCTTTTTATTGTCCTTCTTACTCGTTCTTATTCCTTTCTATTGACCTTCTCATTGCTTCTTATTCATTTCAATTTCCCTGCTTGTCGGGATAAGCCCGCAAGAAACATGTCGCTGTAACTTTTTTTTCTGCCGTGGTAACATTGCACCTTGTCATGGTAACAAACTCGCGTTTTTGTCGTGGTTACAACCCCCCCTCCAAATTCTGTGAACAGCGGTGCAGCTGCTGGCCAAAAGATCCCACTCCCGGTTGAGGTTTGGACGCTGCTGCGCACCGTGGATGCTCATGAGGGATGGGCTTGGCACCCGGCGGCTTGTTGGGGAGGGTGCGAATTCTCTTACGGCGATGGACTAGGTCCAGTGAAGACTGACGGATCGCAAATGCCAGGTCTTGATTGCAAAGGTGGCTGAGGCAAGCAGGAGTCTTCTCAACAACAGACCGTGCCTACTTAGAAGTGGTTGATATGTGGTTAATGATGAGCAATGGCGGCTTCTCGTTGCATCCTGATCTGTGACAACACACAGGATGGCTTTTGCGTATAATAGCACAAACAGACAGCTGCTTCAGGGGTTGCGAGTCTTGCTACGTAGTACTCTGGGGCTGATTTCGCGAGTTGAACTCCAGCAGGTGAAGGTGTTGTTTTCAAACCCTCATCAAATGACTGAGCACATCTGCCACTAGCAGGACCCTTCCACCAACGATGTACTAATCATAAACTATAAAAGTTTCGGTTTTGAGCAAGCGCAACAGTTTTTGTTCCTCTTGGTTGCTTTGACATTTGAACGGTTTGAGATTGCAACCTTTGTGCTCATGCTTCTGGTCAGGACAACCGAACAGCTCCTGTGAGCCATTGAGCGTTGCATGCGAGCCAGGCTTGTGTCCCAGAGTTATGTATCCATTCAAGTCAGTCCCAATGCCCAGGACACAAGACAAGCTTGGCAACAAGAGCTTTCCTTCAGGTTTGGAGAGCCATTCCACTGTTGGGCAACACCACAAACATGCGACTCAGATTTTGGCTTAGATTGGGAGTAAGCGGGCTTTCAAGTTGCTTTTTCTTGCGGACAAATGCCAGGAATATAGGGGGTCAGTTGTTTGCCCGCAAAGGTGCAAATGCCCGAGCTTCCTATGGCTTTGTTCTACCCTTGCTGAATGAGCACGGGCTGGCAACCCATTGCCAGAATGTCCATGCCTTCCACGGTTGCGGGTTTCCTTTTGAGGATCTCGGCACCTTTGAGAGCCGCTTCAGCCGCCCCATCTTGAAGTGCCTTTGCCGCAAGTTTTCGTTCTTCTTTTTGTGGCGCAGGGGAGGGGGTGGGGGGAGGCTGCAGTGGATCAGGCAGCCAAGAAGAATCTGAAGATGGAGGGTCGCTGCAAGACATTTTATGGACCTTCAAGACAAGGGATTCCCATGCGGGTTGTCTTTTTTGAGGGACCAGAAAAAGCAAGCGCACCAAGTCGATTCCCTTTACCCTTTGGCTTCCCTTTAAAACAACCTCAAAAGGGTATCGTTAAAACCAGGCCACATGTTTTGTGCAGCCAAAACTAGGGCCCCCAGAGCCCTTCCGGCCAGGGGCCAGAAGCGCAAGGCTTCCGCCAAGGACTTGGCTGTCCGCGAGGACTGGGTTGTGGACTGAGCCTTGTGGCTGGATAACTTCCTGCCATAAGTTGTATGGGGGGCAGCCAAACACGCGGCAAGACCAAGAGAAATCAAGATTGCAGGAGCCGGCCTTGTCAACTGTGAACCAGTATGTGTCGAAGCTGGTGCATAACCACGTCAAACCGGGAAAGGCAAAGATGTAAACAGATGATTGACAATGGAAAAGAGGCATGATTTCTCCTCTATATCTTTCCCTTCTATCTTTCCTAGCACCTGTCTACCAATGACTCAGAGAGGAATGAAAGGATAATGACAGGTGAGATAAAGGGATAATTGGAGATGATGGACAGCTTTCTCGCTTCTCGTCTTCACTCACCGCTCACGGCTGTCTTCATGTGGACAAGCCCATCAACTAACCAGCCAATGAATGAAAAAGGCTGGCATAAAGGCTTGTCATCCACATGTCGCTTCTTTTCATCTTAATATCTCCCAAAATGATTCTAATGGCTGATCCAAGAGATGAAAGTAAAAGAAAAACAAGATGAAAATACAAATAAAAAAGAAACGACAATAGAAAAGAAAGAGTGATGAAAGTGTTTCCAAGCCTATATCTCCCGCAGTCTTATCGTTTATTCTAGCGGCTCTCTCGGAGCTAAGAAATGGTCAAGAACTTACCAAGCAATGCAAATAAAAGCAAATTATAGAAATTCATCTATTTTATGTTTGTTGTCCAAAAAGAAGATTCATAAGGTTAGGAAAGGTAATTAGAAGATACAAACAAACAATCCAAATAATACAAGGTAAAGAGAAGATGAACCGACATGAAGGTGCCATCATAATCCTTTTGTAGGAGCTCTTGGGATTCAAGAACCTGTTATCCTTGGCGAGCCACAAATCAAGGGTTAACCGATGGTGGCGAGGGGAAGGGCAAGCCTTCATTCTCTTTTGTTTATTTCTTTCTTGTGTTTCTTTTATTTGCTTTTCTCTTTTATTGTTCTTTCTTTATTGGTTTTATTATAACCAAGCGTAACAGCAACAGAGGGCAAAAAACAGGAACAAGAATCGGGACAACCTCGACAGTGACCACGTGGTAGAAGAGCCGCCAAAAACACTGCCACAATATAATCAAAGGAAGTTTAGAAGGAACTTCCGTGTTACGGCAACTAATTGAAAGCTAGCTCTCTGAGACAGATGACAAGGGAATAAGCCCGCGAGAAAAAATGTGCGCGCGTGTGGTGGGAGAATAGAAACACGCAAAAAGAATGGCCTTGTGCGTGAATTGGCGTCTCCGGGGAGCTGAAAGCTGGCCTGCTCCGTTCCAACGCGGAAGTTTCACAAGGTTAGAATTGCGTGGCAGGCGCAGCGTTTTCGCAAGTTGAGGTACATATTGTGTGGCAGGCGCCGCATTTTCGCAAGTTGAGGTACATATTTCGTGGCAGGCGCGGCACTTTCGCAAGGTCAAGTTTTCTTGAGGTTTGAGTCGCGTGGCCGGCGCAGCATTTTCGCAAGGTGAGGTACAGATTTCGGGGCAGGCGCAGCACTTTCGCAAGGTCAAGTTTTCTTGAGGTTTGACTTGCGTGGCAGGCGCGGCATTTTCGCAAGGTGAGATACAGATTTCGGCATTTTCGCAAGGCCAAGTACAGATTTCGTGACGGGCGCAGCACTTTTGCAATGAGAGAGAGAGAGAGAGACGTTAAAATCGGTTGCTACTTTTGCTTGCAAGCGCAAGTGCTGTAGTGTTCAAACCAACAGTCAACCAATGTAGTCTGCAGCTGCCAACCTTTTGACTCATGCGATGTAGTGAGCTCAAGGCCTGCAGTAGTGAACATACATGCAACACAAATGCAGGAAGTGAAGCATGTAGTTTGACACGGCCCCTCAGTTAAAAGGTCTTTGTAGTACCTTTTCAACGGAAGTGCAAAACATGGATTGACAGTAGTGATGAAAACCATTGTTGTTCATCAATTCTACTGTAGTGGCAAAAGGTAGTAACCTGCACTCAGTAGTTCGCGCTGTTCATGTTCCAGCTCGATGTAGTGGCGCTGGATGGAATTCGTGAAGCAGTTACTCATTGTAGTAGAGCAGGAGCTCAAGCATGTAGTGCCCAGTTCTGGGCGCGGTAGGCTTGGACCATCTGTAGTCGACTGTCCAAGGTTGCGTAGTAGCGGGTGGTGAAAAAGGTTGTCATGTAGCTTGGAGCGCCTCGTAGTCTCTCATCGTCTATCTCAGGGCACGACATATGTTGGTCGTAATCCCTAAGGAACGATGTAGTAATGCTTTGTGGTGTTGGGTAAGGTTGGTCATGGTGAGTAGTGTAAAGCCATAGTACTGGATGCTTTTGCAGAGGATGGTAGTAATTGCGTTGTGTCGAAAGTCGTGGAGTTGGTCGCGGTTGTAGAGGTAGTGGAGTAGTTCCGGTAGAAGTAGTGGCGTGTGATAGTTCCAAATGTTGTTATTCCTCAGGCTGTAGTTGTCGGTGAAGGTAGTCATGTCGTAGTCCACCTTGTAGATGGTCTGTGGATGTTGTGTAGTTGGGAGGTAGTAGTTCTGTTGTGCTGACCTCATGTAGGAAATGTAGTCTCTGGTGAAGTGGAGAAATCGTCCGGAAGTGAGGTACCTCAGGAGTAGTTGTTGTCCAATCTGTAGTTGGATGATGACGTAGTTGGTGTTGTTGCCAGTCGTAGTGTGGAGTGAAGTCGTGTGGTAGTAGTGGACGTTGGCTGCTTCAGGTAGTGAAACGCTGAGCAGTGTGGAATTGTAGCGGGGCATCCGGAGGTCTCCAGGAATGCAGTGAATGGGTCGTTTGTAGTCAAAGTGGAGTTGCTTGTTGTTGTGAGAGTAGTTGATACTCTTCCAGTGTAAGCGCAGTGAAAATCTGAGTGTAGGGGGTGTTGTCAGGCAGTGGTGGAGTAGTGGTCGTCTGGTACTCCGTGATGTGTAGTTGATCCATGACAGTTGCCGGGTTGTAGTAAGCCGTGTTGCCAGGCGTGGAGTGATTGAAGCGGTAGTTGGACTCGTTGTAGGGGTGGAGTTCCTTCGTCACTGGAGTCTGTAGTGACCGCCACCTCAGGTGTAGTCGCCCTGTCAGGCGTAGTCGCATCTCCCATCGTAGCATCTGCAGTAGATGGAGCGGCCATGGCTGCAGTGGAATGCAAAATGTAGTGAAACGGGGCAAAACAAAATGAGCCTGAGTAGTAGCTATCAGGCAGGCGGTGCATGCAGACATGTAAAACAAACAACTGTAGTGTTGACTCAGCCGCCAAAAGTGCAAGTGAAAATGCATGTAGTTACTCTTACTCACATACCAAAGGTGTCGTGTTACATGTAGCTACTTACATACAAGAAATGTCCAAAGTCGTTGTTGTTGTTGTTGTTGTGAAACTGTTGCGCTGGTCGTTCGTAGTGCTAACCCAATGCTCTGGATGAGCCTGTGTAGTTTTTCTTTGCTGATGTATTCGGTAAACAAATCTGCGCTGTTGTGAAGTGTGTTGATCTTAACAATTCTGATGATGTCGTGTTTGATGAGGTCTTGTGTGTAGAGAAATTTGAGGTCGATGTGCTTTGCTTGTTTGCTAGTGCCTTGTCGTGTAGCAATGCTCTTGCCTGCTGTGGAGTCTGTGTGGATGCGTAGGTTTAGCTTGCTGCAAATGTTGGTTGCAAGTAGGAAGTTTCTGAGGTGTAGTCCCTCATCAACTCCTGTGCAAATGGCGTAGAGTTCAGACTCTGCTGAGTGCTATTGTAGCTTGTGTTCTGCTGCCAAACGCACCTGTTGTTCCTAAAAAGATGATGTTGAAACTTGAAGTTGATTTCCTGGTAGTAGGGCATCCTGCCCAGTCGGCATCGACATGAACGTCGAGATCCAGGATGTTGTTGGTGTTTGCTCTGAGTGTTGTTGTTGGTTCTATGGTGCATTTGTAGTGCTTGGTGCCGTTCAAGTAGCGTAGTAAATGTTTTACTCTCTTTTGTGAAAGTTCTGTAGGTGCTGTGAGGTCTCGTGCCAGTTCTTTTGTAGAGTATGCGATGTCTGGTCGTGTGTGTGCTAACCTTTGTGTTGTTCGTGGTCAAGAAGTGCTTCATCCTCTATTGTTGGTTTGTAGTGGGCGATTCCTGGAGCGGTCACTGTGTTGCAGTTGGTCATTCCAGACTCCTCAATCATGTTGTCGATGTAGGAGTCCTTTAGTCCAGGTTGCAGTAGTTGCCGAAGTGGTCGATGTTTCTTCCAAGAAATTATTGTGGTTTGCCAGGTTCGAGGTAGCCGATGTGCTTGAGTAGGACCTGCTTCTGGACGGCCTCGAAAGTGGAGTCGACCGCAGTCTTGTCTCCAAGTACCAGTAGATCGTCCACGTAGACCATGACGTAGCAGTCGCGAGTCTCATTAGTGTAGACGTTAGGTTCTGACTTTAGTCTTACAAAGCTGAGCTTTTGTAACACTTCAGCCAGGTAGTCCTGCCATGCTTTTGGTGAACTGCGTAGCCCACACATGGCTTTCTTCAGTCGCCAGATTTTGTCCTGTTGTGGACAAAGTTCTTTAGGTGGCGAAAGGTAGACGTCACGTTGTTTACCGTCGTGGTCTTCTGCGATGGGTGCGTGTAGAAACGCTGTAGCGACGTCACCCAGTCGCGCGATGCAGTTTGGTCCTGACATTTGTAGCGCGAGAAGTGTCCGGAGTGTCGTGAACATTAGTGTAGAGGCGTAGACGGGTCTTCGTCCTCGATCTTCTCCGCGTAGCCTTTTGCGACGATCCGGCTTCGTACTCCTGGTCCTTTCTTTCTGTGTGCCCATCTTGTAGGTGTCGCTTTTTTTAGAAGGCTGTCACCGACGGCAGACGCATCCACGCCGTCGCAGACGCCGTGTAGTTTCATTTGGTTTGACTCGGTTGGTCTTCTGAGGTGTCGTCGTTTGTGTAGGGAGTGATGGATCGGGAAGTGTCACTGCGTTGATTTTCTGTCGTAGTGGTTGTGGTTCTTTGGTTTCTTGCTCCGTTGATCTGATTGTAGTGTCCTTTGAGGTCTTCTGTGCTTTGGTTGGTTGCATTACTTCATCCGGAGTTAAACGTCTTAGTGTTTGTCGAGGTGGTGCTGGTAGTGGTGGATGTTGTCGTCCGGTTGGTGAAGTAGCCATAGGACTATCCGGTAGTGGTCGTGAACTTGACGTCAATGTAGACGGAAGTCGTGGAGGTGGTGTAGCGCGTTGTTGTTTTGTTGCGGGTTCCACAACGATGTCGTCCGTCCGTTCGTCTGTTGTCCGAAATCTTGCGTGGGCCTTCCTTTCTCTGACGGTTGTAGTTGCGTATCCAACAGTGTTGCGAACGATGGGTTGTAGGTGTTCCGTCGTGGTGCCCATGGTGTGCCGGAAACTTTGTTCAACAGCGCGAGGTCGTATTTGAAGTCCGGTTGTAGCCTCCGTACTGCTCGTACTTTTTGTACGCCGGATTCCGTTGCGACGTAGTTTTGTCCGGTTTCGGAAACTTTTCCGAGCCAGATGCATTTCTGCATCCGTAGGTCTGCTTTTGGAAGTTTCTTGTGTTGTGGTGGAAGGGCCAAATTCGCATATTGCTCGCTCGTAGTTTCTTCCCCAGCGGCGTTCAAAGCTTGTGTAGCCGCCTGAGTAGATGACGTTATAGCGATTTACCGTCCATGCTGCGTGTCGTACTATCCAAGGTAGTAGACAGTGCTTTGTGGACATCGTCATGCTGTAGTTGCTTTCAACCTGCGCTTTGACGACGCGTACCTGTCCGAGGAGTGTTCGGTATAGTCGCTCAACACTTCCTTGACTGTTACTGCTGTAGGAGGGTGCATGCCTAACAGTCATTGAGCCGACTTTTGCTGCTGTAGCTTTTAGAAGCGCGTTGAGTCTGTCTTCGTTGTCGCTTTGTAGCATGCCTTGTGTTCTTCCGCACTCAAAGATGAATGCTTGTAGGCTGTTGGCCATGTAGTCCATCATTGATGGTTTGTCCGGGACCATTACTGCCATACACAGTTGTGTAGTAACATCAACTGCTGTCAGTACTGGTATGGTCTTTGAGTCTTGTTGTGATTTGATGTAGGCGAAGTCTACTTGAATGACGGGTTGTCGTGATTGTTGTTTCTTGTAGTTGTCTTGGCGTCCTTTGCCTTGAACGCAAATTGGACACCAGTTTCTGTATGGTAGATGTGTAAGATTGTGTTCTGCTATTTGTTGTAAAGTGGGCTGCTGTGGTTGTCGCAGTCCTCTTGCTCTGTGTGCTTCATGATGCTCGTGTTGTTGTTCCTCATCGTGGTTCTCCTCGATGTACTCATAGTCTTTCTTCACGGTGAACCTTGTTGTTTCAATGGTAGTGCTGCGTTGCCCATGACTGTCCAGTCATCTTTGCGTTGCGAAACTTCTCCAAAGTTGTTGTGAGTGATTGTAGTTCTGTGAGGCTCAAGTATGCTGATTGGTGGATGTCCTGGTCCATCTGTTGGAGTGAAGAGAGTTGTTCTAAGTGTTGCGTGGTGTCTTATCCAGTGTTCACCTTGGCTTTCCCAGTAGTCTTGGTTGTCCTCCTGTGCTGTGAGTGGTCTGTGGATTGTCTCCTTTCATTGTGTGGTGTCAAGATTTGTAGAAGGTGCTGCTTTAGGTCTCCATATCTTTTGTGGTGCTCGTAGTTGGATCTTTGATCTGGTTGGTGGTGTGTCCATTAGCCGTTGTGGTTGTGAGCTCTGCCTTGTTGGTGTGGTCTTTGATGTTGCTCTGCGTGTAGGTATTATCTTTCTTCTGACTCCCGAGGTACCGTCCAGCAAAGGAGCCGCCCAGCACCCGTCCAGCAAGGAGCTGGGACCACTGGACCACTTGTCCAGCACCGTCCAGCCTGCAGAACGTTCAACATCGAAACTCCTGTCTTTCACGTCAAATCAGTAAAGTTGGATGCCAAGACGGTGGGTGCCCTGAGCCACATTCGGACCAGGGACATCAGCAACCTGACTGAGAATGCTCACTTGCGCCACGCAAGTTCAATTGAAGAAGTGGCGTGAGTGTGCTTTCCTTCTCCCATTGCTTTCGTTGTATGAAGTTGCGTCTTTTGGGCCAGCGGAGCCGTGTTCATTTTTTGAGAGCCATGTGGGCATTTGAGGAGAAATGTAGCTGTCATGGAAAGGGCATTGCTTTCACAGCTACGCTACCCAGCAGATGATGAGCATCGGAACACGGCGAACGCCTCTGACGGCAGATGCAGTGGAGGATGCTTCCGACGGATTTCGAGAACCTTGGCGCTGTCTTAAGGGGCAGATATGGGAAGCTGATCGCGAGGCTAAGCGCTGCCAAGGAGGAAGGTTTGTCGACTCAAAACTGGCGGTGCGCTATGATTGGTGGCTTGGACCGGTGGTTTGCTTCCCAGGCTGAGGTCGGGCCCGAGCACAAAAAAGAGCACCGCATGCTGCTGGGGATATCGCTTGAGCTTATTTTGTTCACAACGCAGTATTAGCCAAACAAATACGTATATTATATTGTGGGACTTTTCTTGGCGACTCTTCTACCACTTGGTCACTGTCAAGGTTGAGAGGGGCACGTTGTCGAGGTTATCGTGTTTTTGTCGTGGTTCCTGCGCGCGCCCATCGTTGCGGTTACCCCGTGGCCTCAATATGTGTCATTTGAATGTTTGCGCCATTCAAAACAAGCTAGTTGCTTTTCTTTATCAGACTTCTGGATGAGAGTTCCTTGGGGGATTCCGTTTAGTTCCCCCTTCAAGCCGCCAAAAAAGGGGTCCCTCAACAAAAGGCACCCACCTCTACAGCTCCAGGACGCGCTGAAGGAGTTCCAAGAGCTCTTGGCACGCAATTGCTTGAGGAGGCGGGCCGAAATAGCCTGGCAGGGTGTTTACCCAACACCATCCAAGTCAGATGCTAGTCAACAGGCTTGATCAAACCGCTTGAATGTTTCCTATGGCATCTAGGCACTTTGCAGGCAGGATGCAAGTTTCTTGCTGGTGGAACCTCTATTTGAGGTTGACAGGTTTGCGAACTCAGCTGTGCAGCTGTGATTCCCAAAAAACAGACAAGACCTGCAAGTCTGCGAACTGCTGACCGCTGCAAGCTCCAAGTCCATTTCGAGTCCAAGCTCCAAGTCCATTTCGATTTGCCCCCTATGTTGGGGCATCCAGTGTCCTTCTGTTGAGCATGTCCTTCTCCAATGGGTTTGTCTCAAAGCGGGGAACTTCTTTTAGACATTTGAAAGGAATCCCCAAACAGATTCACCTTGAGGCATCCGACCGATTCTGAGAGAGACCCAAATGCCATGGGTGTCAGTTCTCGCACAAGCCCGTCCAGGACCAAGGATGACGTCGCCCTCATGCTTCCAGGCAAAAACGATCGTGCCGGGGCTCCCATTGTAGCTTCAAAGTCAAGATTGTGGGCTAGAGATAAAAGAAGGACCCTGGGGGCGGGGCTATGGGGGGGAGGGGGAGGGCTTTCCCTGGATAAAGTCCTTAATAAGGCCTAATGAAGGCGCTAATCAGGGACAACCCCGCGTCCCCATAGCCCCGCTTGGGGGTCCATGGGCTTGCAGAAGCCCGTCACATCGCCTCAATTTGAGTCCTCTGCTCAAATCTCAAGGTTGTGCCTTGCCCGCTGAGCCCCGTGCAGCGGGCTGCCTACCAAAACCTCCTGGAGAGTCGAGGACCTCAGCCGCGGAAAAGGCATTGTTCACCGTAGATCGGAAGAGGTGATCTTAGCGCGTTGAACAAATGTATACCAGGCGAGACAAGCTTTACTCAGGTGACGACTTGCTCTGGGCTATTGAAGTTTGACAGCCGCATACCCATTCATTCGGCTGCCTTTAGAAGCCCAACTGCTTGTGAAGATATGACCCAGCAGGGCCTTGAGACTCCTTTGCTCTTTAGGCCAAGAACCACCCATGCTGAGTCATGCAACTTGAATCACCTCCAGCAATTCCTCATAGGCCCGGACTTCCAGATTGCTCTCGGCAAGCGCGAGCTGGAGACTGAGGGGCGGCCCGCACAGAGTTTTGGCAACATCTGAAGCTTGAGCTTGACTTACACCATGCGCATTGAAAAAAAAAGTCGCCATAAAAGGTGTGCACGCCCAGTACTGTCTTGCATGCTGAGGGATGCGCCAGGGAACCAGGCTAGATCTGGGGTCAGAAGCCAATGTTATCACGCGGGTTTCACCCAGGCTTTGTGTTTGCGGCGCTGGAAGGCACGCTGTTTCTGCTGCGCAGCCACACACCCGCGACAGCTCATGTTAGGCTCACAAAGTGAGTGCCTTATGGAATTTATGTGGGAGCAGATTGTGCGCATTTCTACATGGCCATGGGTCAAAATCCCGTACCCCCAGAGAACATCCCAATCCCCACTAAAATCGACTAAAATGGGTGGTGCACCTACCCCAAAATGGGTTCTTGTTGGGTTTGGACAACCACAGCCACATGGCTTCAAGTCGCAATAACTTGAACTTATGTCTCAGCATGCGCTGGCTGCACCCCGGGCCGACCAGATCCGCAGGCCTTGCTTCTGCGGCTCTGGCCCCGTGTGGCGGTACCTGCACCGCCGGCAGGCTGAGAGCAAGGCGGGAGCGACAGAGCAGTCGCAGGCAGCTTTGGGATCCCTTACGTAGCCTTGGTGGTTCCCAGCCATCCGCTTCATTAGGTTTTTAGACTTTTAGTTGGTTTCGTGGTTGGGTTTCCGTTTCACCCAGCCCAGTGCGATCGATCAATGTTCGACTAAAGCTTCAAATCGCATTGGGAAGCACTGACTTGACATTGCATTTGTGCGTAGATCTTGCAAGGGTCCAAGGCATTGTGTGAGGAAACAAGATCCCTCAGAATGCAAAACATGTGAGGAGTGATGTTGACGTGATTATCACCTATCATTTTAGTCCCGCTTTGTGACGCCTAGCTTCAAGTGCGTTTTTTAGCAACATTCCGACCTTGAAAAAAGGGGCCAGGCATTTGCTGTTTGCTTGAATTCAGCGGCAGGGCTTGGAGGACGAGTGGGCTGCGGCAGATGAGTGCTCATGCCAGGGGCTGAGGAAAGTTAGTGACAGAGGAAACGGTTTATTTCGACTAAAGGCCCCACTGGCTAAGGCAAACACCTGATGGAGCCCAGTTCACACATGCTTGTTGCATTTGGACCCTGAAAAACGTGAAACATGAAGTGAGACATAGTGTTAAGCACTCGAAACACTGAACCTCATGCTTTCGATGGACCTGGCTTTCCCTGGCTTGCGCATCTTGACTGCCTAAAGTCACTCGCCCGAGATGTCTGCCTCCAGTCTGGCTGGGTCACACAAGGTGTCTTGTCCGAAAAGTCGTCCAGAGGTGTGGTTCTGTCAGGACAAATCAACAACAGTTGAGGCGAAGCTTCCCTCTTGGGTTGTTCAGACCTCCTGAAACACCTTTCTTTGGGTTACACAGTGCGTGCGCTTTGTGGTTGCCCCAAAAGGGCCTGGGATGGTCAACGGAGGCTCTCCCTCTCGGCCCTTTCGGCAGGCCGGGGGAGGAAGTCGCCCAAGTGCATGGCCCTCTCGCTGATCGTGGGGGCCTCGGAGCCGGAAGGAATCACAGCTGAGCTCGTACATTCAGTCTGAGGATACCCAAAAGGGTCTGTCTCATAGTACCCAAAAGACTGGCGGCTTTTGTTCGTGCTGTTTCTTCTTTTCAAACCAAAAAAGGGGGGTATCCTGAAAACAGACACACTCATGTTCACGGGTTCCTTATGGAGTTGTTGTTTTGGCCAAAGCCAGGGTATCAAATGGCGACACAGCGTAAAGGAGTCGGCCTGGTCCGGGTCAGGTGATGCTTCAGCGGCTTTGCAATCACTTGGAGCAGCTGAAGCCGGACCCGCAGCCACCGAAGGACGGGATGCATCTACAAATTTGTCACCCACCACGATGTGTGTCCAAGTGTGGTTGTGTTTTCTGCTGGTTGTGTGTGCGTGTGCGTGCTGGTACTCTTGCATCCGCCTTTCTTTCTGTATTTGTTTCAGTTATAGAATGCAAGGTGTTTGATTCCGTTGGTTCAACTTACAACCCCGACATGCACACGTCCCTTTAAAAGGCGGAGAGATTTGGTCCTTGTCAGCCATCGAGTGTAGCTGCATCCACGCTGAGTTGCCCAGCATTTGCCCAGCAGATACAAGCCAGAGCACTGTTTTGGATAACTTGCATGCAATCAAGCAGCTCAAAGTGCAGCTCCCCGGCTTTCAGCGCAAACCGCATCCCCGGCTTTCTTTTTCAGCATGCAGATGTGTGCTTTGACCTCAATGGTTCTTGGCGCTGGGCTAGGACGATGCAGAGGCACAGCAGCAGGACCTGCAATGTGTTGCCGCTGAAGAAAGCTCGGGTTTGTTCGGCCTGATTGGGGAGGGGCGTCTTTTCTCAATGCAAATCAGGCCGCTTGGACCTGACGTGGCCGCAGGAGCTCATGCGGGAGCTCTGCGAGGTTGCCTTCCGCGGCATTGCCGGCGGGCTCAGTCATTGGGCTGTGCTCAAGTTGCTTTTTTGGGGACTGATTCCTGATGTACAGTTTATCCGAGCCACACCGTCAGGCTTCAGGCAATTCTAGTAAGCATCATCTCGGGCCTACACTTTGTGCACTCGGTTTGGCCAGAGTTGATCAAATTGGCAAGGACGGGCTTCGTTGCTCACTTCTCTCTTTCTTTCTTGAAAAGCTCTCCGCTTCTGCTGCAAGCGTGGCAGCCGCCGCTGGGATTATTTTCGGGCTTGAGGATCACAACCTCTGCACCCAGCGCCGGGTCGCCAACCGCTTGCAGCGCGGGCCCGAGGCACTCAGATCTCTGGGATGTGAATGTGGCTCAAAAACGGGAACGGCCGAAAATCAAGCCCTACAAAATGGAAAAGTAGACAACCTGCGTTTTGCTTCTTTTTTTTGTGGCTGTTAAGATTGAGCTACCCATGTGGCATGGTTGCACACTTGCCAATTGACATGCCTCTCCAGCCTTTAGGAAGGGGGGCAAAAAAAGAGAGAGAGAGAGAGAGAGAGAGAGGGATAGAGAGATGAAGAGAACGGGCTGGGCCAATTGGCTTGCTTGTCTGGCCAGCATTGAGAATCCATCCCACGTCTGTGTGTGTGTGGATTGACATCCAGCTTAAGTTCTCACTGCTTGTGGTAGCGATTTGCCATGGCCTGGACGCGCACACACACACACCCACCCACCCACCCACCCACCCACCCACGCACGCACGCACGCACGCACGCACGCACGCACGCGCGCGCGCGCACGCACGCACGCGCGCGCGCACAAGCAGGCAGTCGCAGGGGCTAAATCGTTTTCTGGGGGATGAGGAACCTGCAACTCTTCTTTGCCGACGTGAGGCACATGTCGCCTCGCTCGCGTCAACTCACGCCTACCGAAGCTGTCGAGGCTTGGCGACCCGGATGCCTGTGGCAAGATGCAGGCGCGTTGCGGAACAGGCGGTTCGAATCGCGAACTGAATGCGCAACGGAACCAGTCAAACCACCTATATAGGGTTTGCTCCACCTCACCTGAAAGAGGCTTTAGAAAATCTACTCGCAACTTAGTATAAAGAAAATAGACAAGCACATTCATTGGCTGACTTTCAAAAAATCCTTGCTTTCTGAAGTGAGGCGGCAACTTGCACAACAGCCAGACAACTCTGATCAGCTAGAGCCAAGATTTGCCTCGCTGGATTGATAAAGCGGGCTGCTGTTGAGCGGGGCCCCTTGACAGAATCCTCCCGCTTGAGAAACCAGCACCCAAGGTTTCTGGGGCGTCACAGCGAGGTTCTCCTGCCGCTTTTGCGGCACTGGCGCCGGAGATCTCAGAAGGCACCTTTGTGGCTGAAGTGAAAGTCACGGTGAGACGAGTACGGGTGCTGAGCCAGACGGTGAAGGCATTTGCAAGCACACTTTGACATGACCCCTGGCTTTGTTGGAGCCGACCCAGCTGGTACGGAGGCCAAAGCTGACAGAACTCAAGGAAGACACCGCCAAATTGAACTAACAAATCGCATGTTGCGTCATCTTAGTTCTTGATAGCTTCCATGGCGAAAAAAGATGTCAGGTTCTGGTGTTCTCCAGGTCCACGAGGCGGGGTCACCATGCTCAGGAGATGGCTGTTCCAGATTTGGAGGGAAGAAGCATATTTGGTGCGGCTGGACTGACCATGCCTTTTTTTGGCAATGTCTAACATCTTGAGACGACCAAGGCCTGACTCAATAGCTGCCAAGGCGTTTTTCGCTGAAACCCTCGGCTTACTGCTCTAGCGTCACAAGCATTTGCGAGGCTCGTAGAGCTGGCCCCGTCCGGTTCACTGAGAGAAGAGCGCCGCGAGCGACCTGGCAGGCTGCTGGACATCCTGGAGGCTTGCCTCTGGCAACAGGGGTGGTCGAGTACCCAGGAAAGAGCAACGGAGATCGGTAAATATACACAAAGGCTTTTGTTGGAGGATTATGATATCGCACATCTGGAGATGCGGTACTACTTGCAAGCATTGCTGGGAGCCACTAACAGCTACTTTCGCGCTGAATTGCCGATGGAGGATGATTCTGCAATGTTCAAAGGATGGGTAATGAGTAAGGGACTTCATGTTGATGCTTCTAAGGCATTGTTGTTGCTGGATTCTACCTCAGACGCCTGGTGGGCCGTCATCAGGTATATGATAAAGTATATATATATATATGTGTGTTTGCTGTTGTCCTGCAGCTTCGAAAGCTGCTGTAAATGGTGGCTTGTGGAGAAGTAAACAGATTTCATAGGTGCTCTGAGCCAACAAGTCCATGTTTCCCACCCCAGGTCGCCCCAGGTGTTGCGCTTGGATGGCACTACTGCGGTGGGTCAGCGCCAGCGTTTGGTGGATGAGCCGGGGCCCCGCACCGTGCTTTGATTTGATGGGGCCATCTGATCTCAGGCATCCAAACCTGCCCAAAGTCGCGGGACGCGGTCTTCCTTTTCCAGCTTTCTGTTTATTCAGCGTTTACACAAAATGGAGGCAACACATTATGCTGGAGCCCAAGTTGGCTGAAGGTTCAACACGTCTTCGACCCGCGCAATCTTCTTGATTTCCACCCGCTGGGCACCCCAGGCAGTGTGGGGCTCCTGTGACATGCTGTGCAGGGGCATGTTGTCTATACATGTGTTTTGCTGCTGCTGCTGCTGCTGCTGCTGCTGCTGCTGCTGCTGCTGCTGCTGCTGCTGCTGCTGCTGCTGCTGCTGCTGCTGCTGTTGCTCAGGAGGATGGCTTCAGCGTTGATTTTACATTGCATCAACGTGTGCGGGAAACGTGAGCATCGATCAATCCTTGGCTGACAAGCAAGCGGGGGTTGCTTTGAGTACTGCGGCGCTTGTTCTTGCTTGGCAGCATTTGCATCTGCAAACTTCTGGCTTAAGATTTGGCTCAGGCTGACTAGGTTTTCTTCGAATCTGAGTCCTTGCGTGACTGGATCAGGAGGCCATGCTCATGACATGCCGTCAAGTCACATTGGCAACCGTGCTGCTGGCAATAGCTATAACTTTGTCAGGCTGTTTTGGCGGCTCCTCTGGCGGCGGCTTGGATGACGCGAGCAGCAACCAGACCACTCCGTCACCCTCCTCCTCCTCCTCCTCCCCCTCCTCCTGGTCATCGCCGTCAACCTCCCCCTCCGAGTCGCAAACGCCAAGCTGCACGGATGGTTGGTGCTGCAATCGGCCGTCCCCGAGGCGCCTCGCCACAGCAGGACTGGCGCGGAAGCTCGGGTCGGACACAGAGAAGCAGTACGACTACGCTTATGTGCATGAAGATGGTTTGAGTGTGCGTGTGCACTACAACGTTGATGTGGACGATGATGTTGAGATTCTACCTCTCGCAAATCTCAAGGATGTAACTTCTCTTGTTTGTACTGACGTGTTGACACTTCTCGTGTCCTTCACAAGCAAGCCTTCGGCGGATGCCTTTGGAGCACAACTCGAGCAAGTTAAGAATGGGACACGGCTCTACCTTTCCTCAGTAAGTGTCGAGTCCTGCAACGAGGGCCCTTTTGTGGCTCGGGTCCAGACCTTTGATGTCGTCAGTCAAGGCTTCAAGATCGTGTATGCGAATGCCAATTATGAGGACGTCTTCAGGCACGCCAGTGTGCGCTTCTCCACAGACCTTGCGCAAGGTCCTGACATCAGTTCTCAGCCGGTGAATGCTGCTCCAAGCCACGATGGGCGCGCACTGTTCTTCGGCTTCGCAACTGTTTTGGACGCTGCTTGGAGTGCTACACGCGGCTTTGCTAACAGTGTCGTCAAGGAACTGACACCGCTTCTTGAACTGGCCGGAGACGTCATGGATGCTGCTTTCAATGGCAACCTTGATGCCGAGTACTCAAAGGAGGTGACTCTCTTCTCGCTCAGTTGCAACGGGCAAATTGCGAGTGCTGGTGGAGCTGCGCTCGAGTTCACCGAGGTGAGCGGCGCTTTGACAGCAACACTTGGTTTCGCTATGAAAATTGAAAGCCACGAGTTGCTGGAAGCCGGGGTTTCTGTGGAAGGCAAGCTAGAATTGATCGCAGAAGCCAAGGCGTCGCAAACGATGGAGTACAGCACGGAGAAGCTCATTTTCGCTTTCAGGTCGAAATTGCCACCCCTGTTCGTCTTGGGCATCCCTATCGTGATTGACCTAGAAGCACCGGTGAATGTAGGGTTCGTGGCCAAGTTTGAAGGCAGCGTGACAGCGAGGCAATCCATGTCCGGCTCCATCAAGTTTGCCTACAACTACCAACCTCAATCCGAAGAGCCGCATACGCGTAGTTTTACCCAGTCCTTTGAGGCAGAGTCCTCGGTGCAGGTGAAGTCAGAGGCCAGCATCCAAGTGTACACGAAAGTGGCCCCAACAGTTTGGGTCTACAAGATCTTTGGTGTGGTGTTGGCACTGAAACCATACGTCCTTGCAACCAGTGACAACTTCTGCAGCGTTCAGAAGTTCATTGGACTCGACGCTGATGTGTCCTTTGAAGCCAAGGGCATCGCCAAGAAGGAGTTCCCCAACGTGCTCGCCCTGCAGAAGCCATGGGGCGCAAACTCAGCGGATGAGTGCAACGGCCGTCGCCTGGGCCTCCGAGGTCTGGCGACCAGCATGCTTGGCCGCATGTGGGAAGGTTCCATCACCAGAAGCGTCTGCTATGACGGGGGCTATCCTGCCTATGAGTCGGGCAAGATGCAGCTGCAGCTGGTGGATGGCAGCAATCAAGTTTACATGGGCGTGGTGAACTTGGACCAGACCTCGGGCATTTCTTCGAACCAGGGAGGAGGGCAGTGCTCCATCACGATGAAGTTCGAAGTGGTTGGCATTGCGTTGCAGCCGGTGCAGGATGCAAACTTTTGGGCCTCCTGCGGAAGCTTGAGCTTCTATGACTTGCGTTTTTTGCTGAACTGGGGCTCGGAAAACGACGCCATCGCTGGCTATTCCGACAACGGCTGCCACAAGCTGGATCTCCAGGTAGTAGCGCCGGTAACATCTGGCAAACTTTCGGACTGACCTTGCCTTGGCCGCTGTTTGCTTTCGGCCGTTCAAAGAACGGCCGTCTCACGCAGGCCACCTGAACTGCAAGAATAACAGAGAACAAACAAAATAAGAGTCTCGGGCATGTGGCACTGGGCCTTTCAATTGACCGTGGTCCAGAACGGCAATATGGCAATATGCGGACCATACTTGTACACTGGGACCAGACTCCCCCGGATCAGCCTCTCATTCGGCACGGATCGAGGTGCTGGCGGCGTGGGCTTGAACCTCACGGCTGCATCGGTGGTGGTGATCTTTGACCCGGACTGGAACCCCTTCTCGGACCTCCAAGCCCAGGCGAGGCGGGCAATGGGCCGGGAAAGGTGGTGATCCGAAGGTGAAAGGAACTCGAACAAAAGGTGCAGAACAGCAGGAGTTCAGGGCAAGCCAAAAAAGTCCTTGAATTTAGTCCCTGCCTCGTGTGCGCATTTTGCACCTGGTATTTTGGCTCAAAAGTTAAAGCTCTTGCTTTCTTGAAGCGTAGATCAGAGTCCACTTCTGGGGCCAGACCTTTGACCAGTGAGCCGCTGGCTTTAGCTCTCGGCCAGGATCGGTCCTTCCGAATCGGTCAGACACGGGTCGTGGAGGCGCGGCCGGAGAGATCGCCACTGGACCCAGCGTACTGCAAGGGGCTTTTTGCTGATTGCCACGGGCAGTTTCTTTGTTTTGGGAATTGACACTTTCGGGCGAACTTGGCATATTGACACGTGTGCTTTCTGAGCGGCAAGGGGCTTGTGGCATGGTTTCGCTTGTCACGTGAAGGGTTCCCCTGAATGAAACATGCCAAGCACACTGAATGCTTTATAGCAAAGTGCAAGGATGTGGCACATGCAATAGGTGGCTGGGTTGCATTGTCAAAGTGCATTCCTTCTTGTGATCGACCTTTACCTTCCCCCTTGCCAGGTCTACCGACTGCTTGGCGCAGGCACCATCGAGGCGTGCTAAGCCAGCGGCACGCTTGCTGGATTCAGTGACATGTTTGTCGGCAACCTTATTGAAGTGATCCGCGTAATTTGGAGATGTGACGTCATTTCGGCTTTTACCGGGGCCAAGCGGTGCCCCTTTTGTTTGCTGGGTATGCAACAACTAGCTGCCGCGTCCCCTCATGTCAGTTGTTCTGGTGCCGCAGGCTGAGTGTCGGATTTCTTGCTTGTCATGTGCCGGGCTCAGCGCCTACCCAAATTGGCGCGGAGCCTCGGCCAGGAGCAGGTCTACATGCGGCAGATCTGGAAGCAGCAGCTCGCGGCCGCCGCGCTGGCCGGGGTGCCAAGGGCTTTGCGCTTCGGAGAGGCAGGGATAGTATGATAGAGGGGCAAGGCACCGTTCCGAGCGTTCCTTGTGCAACCTCAATGCACATGCGTTCTGACTTGTTTTGCAGGTTCTGTGCGTGCGCCTTGTGCTTTGAGGACATCATACGAATTGCCGTTTCATTGATTGAACCGCCTTCTGCTGGCGACTTTCCAGCCTAGACACATGCACACGACCTCACAATTGCACTCAGAAAGCGAGTTCCACCTCCCAGGATGGCACGCGCAGTGCCCGGCGCTTGGACGACAAGTCCTTCGGCCTGGGGAGCTTGTTCGAGCTCCACGAGGGCTCCATGCTGAAACTTGGCTCAAAGTGGTGGCTGGTTCACTGGGGGTATGTTAGATGAAAACAAAGCCCCCTTCAGAGCACAAATTCAGCCCTCTGCAGCCTAGGAAAGCCTAATTGCGCCAAACAAGGTCTTATGGCCAGGATTCGGGCACACATCGCTGTGAGCTTTTGCTTTCAGTGGGTTCAGGTTCAATGCTCAATCGGAATCGGACAAGATCCAAAGTTTGCTTCAGTAATTCAGCAGCACACTGCCGAGTTTGGTCGCTGCCCTTTGGCAGGCACTTTGCGTTGAGGTAGCAGGTTTATCGCAGGCTCTTGCTCCCCTTCCTCTTGAGGAGCAGATCTGCAAAGTTTTGTCATGGCACACGCGACAGGATGTACATCAAATTTGCAAGGCGAGTGTTGAAATCATTGCACCTGTGACATGGCCCAAGTCCAACTTCCTGCTTCGACTTGCTGCCTGGGCCGCAATAGGTGTTTGCTGAACCGGGCCGCCGCAAGCCGAGGCCCGCCCTGATGGCAGAGGCCTTCAAAAAGTCGGCTCAGGACTGCGCGGCCTCGTTTCGCTTCAAAAAGAGACTTAACGAGATCTCCACTCAACAAGTACTTGTTTAATCTTCTTGGTTTATTATTTTATTGCTTATTGTTGTTAATTGTTTGTTTGTTTGTTTGTTTGTTTGTTTGTTTGTTTGTTTGTTTGTTTGTTTTGAGGTCTGGTTGTACTCGAGCTTGATTTTGCCTTCTCCGAGCAAACTGTACTTCCTGAAGTGTTGGTCACTGTAACAAGCGATCCTTTGACTCTTAAGAAGAAGAGCATTTTGTTTAAGCGATAATCGTGAACAATGAGTACTATGAGACAAAGAACACAGAAGTAGCAGCAGCACTTTGCTTGGTGGTAGATTTGGTAAACGTAACATGAGCTGAGGTCCTGAAACATCCCGGCATTGTTTGTATTTTGAGGAGAAGACTGGAGTTGCAGGAAGGCCTTTTGGCTAGCATTAGTGTGGAGCAATTAGATGGTTTAGTTTTGATTTTACGTGAATGACGAGTTCCCCTTGAAGTGGGGGTGGGGGGAGGTCGCATTCTAGCTATTTGACCAGCGTGATGCCTGCTGTCCTGTTGGACTCCCATTCTTCAGGAGTCCATGGAGGGCGGTGTGCGTGCTTGGGCCCCAGCCGAAAGGGGCGTGGGGCGAAGAGAGGGCGGGGGCGGAGCTTGGGGCCCGGGGTTTACTTCTTGTTGGAGTCCAAAGATGCTTTTCCTCAGAGAGTTGTCTGCACTGTGTCAGAACATGCATATGATAGGATGGTGACCTGAGACAAGTCGACACTCATGTGCATGACGGAAGCACAGTCGGTCGTGAAGATCAGAAGTGCTTTCCTTGGGAACCTGAGAGCGTTGGGTTCTGCTCTTCAAACGAATTCGGCGGTTTCGAGAGGTCTTCAACGACCTCCGCGGCGGCGCGCCGGCACCGGGAGCGCCGCTGCCTCGGGCGTTCGAGGAGTCACTTCGACACGCTCGAGTTCTCCATGGCCACGTGGCGCTTGCGGCTTTTGACCAGGACCAACTTCTGACCCTAGCTCGCCAGAGTACTTGTTTTTTTTTTTTTTTTTCTGGAAGAGTCTGGAGGAGCTGCTTTACTTGAAGGCAGCCCCCAAACGCCCTGCCTTGCACCAGTGCTTCACCCCCCAGCATCATACTTTTTTACCAGCCCGCACATCTGACGAGGGATATTGCAAAAGGGCACAGCTCTAGTATTGGAGATATTGGAGCCTGCAGTGCAAGATTGCGTCCAGTGAAGGCACGCCGTCAAAATTGGCCAATTGCTTTGCCTGCACATCACCAGCTTCCGCTTCACAAAAGCACATGGCCCCCAAGTTCGGAGCACGGGGTTGCCGTGAAACCAGCCATTCCGGGCAACCTCAGGTTGTGGCGTCCTGAGGAGGAGGCGGAGCCAGAGGAGGCGTGAGTCACCACGAGGGCAGGAGCTTGATGTTGGGTTCGTTTCCTTGAACCGTTGCCGTGTTGCACATTTGACATGGGTAGTTGCTGCTAGAGATTTGTGCACAACCGACTTGGTGCCAGTTGACACATTCCACAGGTTGTGTTGGCGGGGTTGCAGGGAAGCATCCTGCTTTGCCAGCCCATTCTCCATTTCCCTGCCATAAACGTGAGTTTCTCCAGGCCAATAACGCACAGGAGCTTGAGGCGCGAATCCGGGTGCAGTCAGAGCTTTTCTGTCACCAAGCTTTAGCCAGTCAGACCCCCAAGAATCATGCCATCGAACTGAAGCCAGCATGACCTTTTCATATTGTCGCAGCTTGATCATTGGACATGTTGGGGAGAGCTTCACAGAGCTCATGCGACACACGTGACATTTGAGTTTCAGCCCGGGATCCACGTGACAGGAGCTCCACGGCATGTTTGACCAAGTGGATCACTCCAAAGTCGTGCGAAATGACACCCAGGACACGGTGGGACTGGTTCGCCCACCATGCATGTATCGCGTGCTGTACTCAGAAGCCTGCAGCAAAGCGTTGCTGGGGCTGGAGTCATTGCAGATTTGGCCTGGATGTGTAGAAGAATCCTGGATGCCATTGATAGTGAGGAAGCACATGTTTGCGCAAACATTCTAATCCTTGCTGGCAGGAAAACCTTTTGCTGGCTGATTTGGACGACATAGAGAACGCACCGGAGTGAAATAGAACAAATCATACTACGGAAGAATATGGGCGGATTGGATATTGAGACAATAGAGAGAGAGAGGAAACAAAAACAAAGATAAATCAAGAGATCTCAAAAAGGAGAGAGAAACAACAGAGCTGAACATAAACGAATATAAATATAAAGAAGAAGAGGAAGACAAGAGGAAAAAGAAGAAAGGTAAAAAGAGAGATACAGGAAAAGGTAGATGAAGAGAAAGATAAAGAAGAAGAGAAAGAGGAAGACAAGGCGAGAGAGAAACTGGAACAAGCAGGAAGGGGAAGAGGAAAGGATAGAAAAAGAGAAAGAGAAGGATAAAATAGAAAACACAGAGAAAGATAAAAAAGAAAAAGGAGATAAAGAGATAGAGAAATTGGAAGAGTGAAAACAATAGAGAAAGAGAATGAGGAAGAAAACAGAAAAAGAAATAGAAAAATGAAAACGAAAGAAATTATGTTAGGAGAGCAAAAACTTCGGACTTGGGATATTTGTAAAATACGGTATTGGTTCTTTTATGTTGGAAATTAATTGAAATATGGTAATATAGAAAAGGAATAATTATATTTAATGAAATAAATATATATTTATATGTTTATATATCTATTATAGGCTAAATTTAATATTGGATTATTATTATTGGGTATTTATGAATTATACATATTTTGGAAGAACCTAAATGAATATGTAACATATATATATATAATTTTGTATAAAAATTCTTATTTGGGTTGAAATTGCCCGAATTTTGGGTTATTGTTGATATTAGGATTTTTAGGTTTTTGGATGTTATTTTGTGTTTTGTTTTTAGAATTTGGTGATTTGATTAATATAATATCGGACTAAATTCGGGAATTCGGTTGAATTGAAATTTCTCGAACATTTTGTATTGGATGTTTTTGTATGTTTGTGGCTCTTAGTTTGATTTTGTGAGTCCGTATGTATATTCGAATTTTTTTTTTTTTGGTGTTTGTGTTTCTCGGTCTTTATTTGTGTTTTTTGTTGCTCGGGTTGTTTCGGTTTATCTCTATGTGTTTATACTTGTTATTTTTTGTTGTTTTTTTATTTCTTTGTGTTTATTTTTGTTTTTGTTTATAGATATGGATCTATTCGCAAAACTGGCATATTTCACCGCATATTACATTTGCATTTTTTAAATTCCATTTTCTTATTTTCATTCTATTATTATTTTGTTTTATTATTATTTTTCTTGTTTACTTGCTTGCCCCTCTTTCTCTCTTTTTTTCTTTGTTTGTTTCTTTCTTTTTCTCTCTCTGTTTCTATCTCTCTCTCTATTTTTTCTTTTTTTCTCTTTCTCTTTTTCTATCTCTCTTTCTTTCTAATTTTCGTTTTTTTTTTTAATTTTTCTAATTGGTTTTCCTTTTTAATTTTTATTTTTCTGTTCCTCAATATATTTTTAATTATTCTATTTTATCCGTTGGTTTTGCACTTCCTATTTAATATCTTTTGAATATTACCAATATATAAAATATATTATATAAATTAATTATTATAATTAAATATATATATTCTTTTATGCTATTCAATTATATCTTATTTAATATTTTTTATGTCTTTATATTTAAATTAATATTTTATTATTTTTTAAAAATATATATATATTATATTAAATATTATATATGTTTTTCTTAATTATATTTATTTTTCTTTATTTTATAATACTTCATTTATTTAATATGTTTAAATTAATTTCCGATATTATAATATATATTTATATAATAAAGATATTGTAATTCTTATTTATATCTATTTTAAATTAATTTATTTTTTATAATATTTTTAATATTTTTTTTGTTTTAATTGTTTTTTTCGAATTTTAAATTATTTTTAGCGATCCAATTTCAAGTTATTGTTTTTTTAATATTCATAAACTTTAGTATTTTTTAATATCTATTCTTTATATATTTTTTTCAATCGAATATATCTACCTTAATGTATTAAATAGAGAGATATATTATATAACCTAATTATTCCGTTCCGTGAAAAAAGAAAATCCTCAAGGAGAGGATGGGAAGAGGTTGGGAAGAAGCCGAAAAGAGACCGAGGAACAAGACGGAAGAGGTCGGGACCAGGACATTCAGGGCTACTAAGACATTGAGGATTACTAAGAACTTGAGCGTTGCTAAGAATTTGAGGGTTGCTGAAAATTTGAGTGTTGCTAAGAGTTTGAGGGTGGTAAGAATTTGAGGATTAGTAAGAATTCCAGAGTTATTAAGAATTTGAGGGTTCCCAAGGATTTTGAGGGTCCCTAAAAAATTGAGGATTGCTAAGAGTTTGTGTTTTGCTTGGAAGAGGCTTATCTGCTAGAGAAGGTACACCCTCGCTGGACCCAAACCCTGCAGCCACAAATGGCTGTTGTGGAGTCATGACTAACTTAAGAAACTGCTCAGATCTTGAGGGATCCTGGAACACACACATCGACATTCACGTGGGAATTGAAGTTAAGAAATTCAGGGTCCCTGAGTCTGACGAGCCCGGATTCTTATCCAGCGCTTGGATTGTATTTCAATTAGTATTATTTGTTATGATATGTTTTGCTTGCTAAATGATGTGGATTCTGTTATGCAAAGGGTTTTCCTCTGCGTGTCGATCGGAAGTCGAACCTGCAGTCTGCAGCAGCGTCATACATCACTTTACACTGCAGCACAACATTGACCACTTGCAAGGGAACCAGTGGTCCATTCCTGCATTCAATGGCACCCGTCTGTTAGTGTTTCCTGTGTGCCGATTTCAACTTGTGTTTGCTGACTGATTCATGCAGCAGCTCAGCATTGAAGAGTGCTGCGCCCGCCTCATCGACCTTCTGCACGGCTGCTGTACACGTGGTTTGGCCTGACATTGTTGAGTGCGCTTGTGGTGGCGTGCGCGCACACACACTACATACCTACATATCTTTTTAAACATGCATACATACATACATACATACATGCATGAATACATGTATCATATTACATTACATTACAGTACAGTACAGTACATGACATACATACATTACATACATTACGTACATCACATACATCACATACATTACATACATTACATACATTACATACATTACATTACATTACATTACATTACATTACATTACATTACATTACGTTACGTTACGTTACGTTACGTTACGTTACATTACATTACATTACATACATACATTACATTCATTACATTACATTACATTACATTACATTACATTGCATTGCATTACATTACATACATGCATACATACATACATACATACATCGTACATTACATTGATACATTACATACATTCCATTCCATTCCATTCCATTCCAGTCCAGTCCACATTACATTACATTACATTACATTACATTACATACATTACATACATACATACATACATACATACATACATTACATACATTACATACACATTACATTACATTACATTACATTACATTACATTACATTACATACATACATTACATTACATTACATTACATTACATTACATTACATACATACATTACATACATACATATACATACATACATACATTACATTACATTACATTACATTACATTACATTACATTACATTACATTACATTACATACATTACATTACATTACATTACATACATTACATTACATTACATTACATTACATTACATTACATTACATTACATTACATTACATTACATTAAATTGCATTACATTACATTACATTACATTATATTACATACATACATACCTGCATGCATACATACATACATACACTACATTACATTACATTACATTACATTACATTACATTCCATTACATTACATTACATACATACATACATACATACATACATACATACATACATACATACATACATACATACATACATACATACATACATACATACATTACATACATACATACATACATACATACATACATACATTACATTACATTACATTACATTACATTACATTACATTACATTACATTACATTACATTACATTACATTACATTACATTACATTACATTACATTACATTACATTACATTACATTACATTACATTTACAATACATACAAGGAAACATCATGGGGCGGAAGGACTGCTGGGTGCAGGGGCCCACGATCAAGGAGAGACTTACAATGAAATGCTGCTCCTTCTGGCAGCGCAACAAGGTCACTGTTACTGTTAACAACTATGTGTTGCACCTCGCATTTATCAATTAGGTCGAGCAAGGCTAACCTCAACAAAGCTCCTTCTGCGGGCCATTTCCTTTTTCACCATTCAGCTGTTGCCGCGGCACAATTATGCCGGCGGCACTTGTAGAACCCGCCCCGGGGTGTTGGTGTCCGCGTTGCAGATCCTAGGGCGCACTCCAACAAGAGCATTGCATTTGGGTCCGGATCGCATTTAGACTGACCCTTGCATCGGCGGCGGCCAAATTCAAAAGAGCAACTCAATCGGCAAGCATTGTTGAAAAACATATGAGCAGGCCTGTGCATGCTGTGTCAAACACGGCTTCTGCACAGAGGTTTTGGCACGGACGGCGAGCGCACGGGGGGCGTGCGCTTGCTGTGTGTCTGTCTGCGTGTGTCTGGATTGGCTGACGCAAAGTCAACATGTTCGAAAACACCCACCCACCCCCCAAGTGGCTTGAGAGCCCTTCTCAACCCCAAAAAGCGGCTTGAGAGCTCATGGTCGCTAATCACGCCATGAGCGCAAACAAGCAATCACACAAGCAATCAAACAAGAAACAATTGACTGTCACCTGCCCTGTCAATTCAATGCGCAGAATTCCTGAACTCATCTCCGTGACAAATAACTCTTTCCAATGACAAACATACTTTTTAACAAAGCACAAGGACTGCCAGCTGTCAACTTTGTGAGACCTCGCCAGAAACGTTTGCTGAGAACGTTCGCCTGCCTCGAGGAGTGGTCGCCCTTGGAGAGCCTGGACACATGGAGCGGAGCACGACAGGTGCTGTGGGTTGCGAGTCGCCATTTCGTGGCTTCTCGCTATGGAGAACTCGGCAAAGAGAAGTCCAAAAGATGGAAGAACATGCCTTGTGATTGGAGTGAGGGAGTGACACCGTATTGGTTGGCCGACTCTTCCAACTCTTCAGCAAATCCGCTCACCCAGATGCTTTGAGTTGACGATTGCGCAGGAGAGTCTTTGCTTTGCCGAGCTTCATGCGCGGAGTCTCTTCCGGCCGGGCCTGGTGTTCGGCCCAGCCGCATGCCGCCCCTGGCAAAAAGAGGCAATGATGCAATTCCCTTCAGCGGAGACGAATGCTTCCTTGTCACAAAAAATGCTTGACTCAAGAATCATCCCTTAGAACTATTCATGCACAAACTCTTTGAACAATGAGCAGCCACATGAGGTTACATTTTATGCAGGCAACCATGTTCAGAAAATAATGCTGCACCCGAAGTGTATCGGTTCCAGTGGACGGATTGATATGTTCTGGTCTTGGGCAACCAAGTCATGGCTCGAACTGTGAAACACCTCCCCGGCCGCACATATATGTTAGATATCATAAACATGTATACACTCGTAACATAGTGTAGGTGGATGAAATCCAGCACCACTTGGGATACGTGACACCCTATACGTCGTGGGATAAACCACCTACCAACTGATGCAGGATTTTGTCGATCCACAGGATGTGCACAATGCCTTGACATAAACAATACAACATGGCGAGCAGGTCCAATCAGCTTTTGAACAAACCGCCAGGAATGCGCGCGTCGCTCGGCGATGGCGCGGATGTCGGTTTGACGCCTGCAGCCGGAGAAGCTTGGGTCCCTAGCCAAGAATCAGTTCAAGCCTCTACGTCTGTCTCAACTGCGCTTAGGCTGGACTACCCAGTCTGCGGCTGGACTACCCAATCATGCAATCAGCTCGCAAGCAGCTGAATTGCACTATTTGCACTCACTATCCGCCTTCCTGCCCTTCCGAGAAGGACAACAACTATAAGCCTTTGCAGAACAAGCGACTCTTCATCAACTACGTGCTCCCCAGAAAGGCCGGAATTGCCAAATGACGCTCTCCACTCGGATGAGGTAATTATGATCAATCCTGGATGCCCCTTGCATTTGAATATCAGAAAGCATGCCCTGTTGATCGCATGCAAGTGGTCCACTCAACGTGTCAAGTCTCCCCAGGCCGAACAAGCAAAAACGAAACAACCAAACATACACCCCGGTTGCTGTCCGGATCGCTCCAGCTTCCGCTCCGCTCATCTGTGCCCCGTGCGGCTTTTCCGCGTCGCGGAACACCGGCATCTCCTCCTGAAAGGCCAACAAACCGAACCCCAAACCAGTCAGAATAGGTGTCAAAATAGGGAACCCCTTGCTGGTTTCCTTTTGGTCGTTCTTTAATACAATCCCCAAACGGCATCCAGGATGGTACGTTCATCTGATTGAAAGGGGTGGATGTGAAGCTGACCCTCTGCGAAAACCGCCAAATCGGAAAGGCACTCCTGATGACTATTGCATCGCACTTTGTGCAGCCTAATAATATACTTGAAGCCAAGGTTCATCCGAAATGCCCTGACAAACCTTGCATCTGGTCCCTTTTGCACGGATTCCAGATCTTCAGGCAGGCCCAAGTAGATACACAGTATAATGTCCAGTTGCTTTGACCTCTCTTGCTCGATCTCTGCTCCACAAATGCCCATGTCCAATGCCACGGCTTAACAAAGGCAAGCTGCTCCAACTGTTTGGTGCGCTACTCCTGCCTGAAGGATCTCCTGCGGGGCCTGAACAAGACGCTGCCCGCCGCCCGCGCAAATCATCGAAAAACTTGCCGTCGGGAAGCTGAACAGCTCGGACTTTGCAACTTCCGGTCTAGCACTCGCCTTGGATTACAATGAACATCGCAGCAGACCAGTGGCAACACCGCACATCTTGTCAAGACAAAACCCTTCTTCAAATGCCTGCTTTACATGGCGGTGAGATCCAAAACATTTGCTTGACGAATACTCAGTTTGTTTCAAACAGAAACTTTGTTAAATCGATCAGGCTGCATTGAGAATCAATACGGACGCACCCAACAATGAGATAGAACATTGCTGGTTTGCATCTGGCTGAACTTGTTTACTTGTGATTAGGTTGACAGCAATCAGACCTACTCAGGCAGTGGCTGAGCCTGATTGCACAACTCCATCATACAGTGGCCGTCGAATTCCAAGGGAAAACTTGCCTTGAACGGAGATGCGTGCCAACCTGCACCCAGCGTTTCCCTCCACCCGAACCCCATTGGCCAGCCTCCCGGCGAGCGCCGCCCTGCCTGGCATGTAGTATGTGGGCAGCCCAAAGAGGAGGCATCCGCGGTTCAAAGAAAACAGACCAGCCACATGCTTCGTGGCAGCCTCGAGAACAAACTTGGCAACTCCGCCTCGAACAAACCTAAAAAAGAGACCCGGTTGAGAGGATATGCTTCCATATTGTTTGATGCATCAAAAGGGGCCACACACGTCTGGTAATGCACATCAGGCAAATGCAAAGGCTACAGCGCGCTTTTAGCTTTGCTTGGCTGATTGAAGAGCATGCTTCAAACTGCATCTGTGCCCAAGAGCAAGCCAACAAAATGAGCAAGCTAACAAAATGAGCAAGCTAACAAAATGAGCAAGCTAACAAAATGAGCAAGCTAACAAAATGAGCAAGCCAACAAAATGAGCAAGCCAACAAAATGAGCAAGCTAACAAAATGAGCAAGCTAACAAAATGAGCAAGCTAACAAAATGAGCAAGCTAACACAATGAGGGAGCCAACAAAATGAGCAAGCTAACAAAATGAGCAAGCTAACAAAATGAGCAAGCTAACAAAATGAGCAAGCTAACAAAATGAGCAAGCTAACAAAATGAGCAAGCTAACAAAATGAGCAAGCCAACAAAATAACAAAATGAGCAAGCTAACAAAATGAGCAAGCTAACAAAATGAGCAAGCTAACAAAATGAGCAAGCTAACAAAATGAGGGAGCCAACAAAATGAGCAAGCTAACAAAATGAGCAAGCTAACAAAATGAGCAAGCTAACAAAATGAGCAAGCTAACAAAATGAGCAAGCCAACAAAATGAGGGAGCCAACAAAATGAGCAAGCTAACAAAATGAGCAAGCTAACAAAATGAGGGAGCCAACAAAATGAGCAAGCTAACAAAATGAGCAAGCTAACAAAATGAGCAAGCTAACAAAATGAGCAAGCCAACAAAATGAGCAAGCTAACAAATGAGCAAGCTAACAAAATGAGCAAGCTAACAAATGAGCAAGCTAACAAAATGAGCAAGCCAACAAAATGAGCAAGCTAACAAAATGAGCAAGCTAACAAAATGAGCAAGCCAACAAAATGAGCAAGCTAACAAATGAGCAAGCTAACAAAATGAGCAAGCTAACAAAATGAGCAAGCTAACAAAATGAGCAAGCCAACAAAATGAGCAAGCTAACAAATGAGCAAGCTAACAAAATGAGCAAGCTAACAAAATGAGGGAGCCAACAAAATGAGCAAGCTAACAAAATGAGCAAGCTAACAAAATGAGCAAGCTAACAAAATGAGCAAGCCAACAAAATGAGCAAGCTAACAAATGAGCAAGCTAACAAAATGAGCAAGCTAACAAAATGAGGGAGCCAACAAAATGAGCAAGCTAACAAAATGAGCAAGCTAACAAAATGAGCAAGCCAACAAAATGTCATCTCTTTGCACCACTGGAGCTGCTATCATGCCACGGCTAGTTCCCGTTGGCTTGCTCTGCGCCGCAAAACGGCTCCAGAGGCAGCCTGAGCCTCTGAGCCCGGAAGCGGTCCCAAGACTGTACCATTTGGCCCACTTCACCAAAGGTCCTGTACTCCTTTGGTCAGGTCTCAAAATTGGTCGTGCCCAAAAAGCTTGGTTCTGTGCCGAGACATGGAGCCTCAAAAGCTCCGAAGATTGAGGTACCAAAGGGAGACGGCAACCTGGAATTGCCGGCCTCGCATGGTAGAAAGATTGTGCATCTTGGTGCCAACTCTGAACAGGCTTTGACAAGCTTTAGTGGCGCTTGCTTACTTTTCATTGTCCCTGTTGGTCTCATCAAAGAACTTGAAGAACTTCGACGTGTCCTCCTCACCGTCACGAGGTGCCGTGTCGAAGATCTGAAACTCCGCGATCTCTGAGAGTGGCCCCAGGCCTTTCGGGTAGTTGCCGGAAAGGCTCGTTGCCATGGAGTAGACGCAGCAGGCGGAGACCAGCAGGTAAATCCCGGTGCTGATACCGCCGGAGATTTCAATCGGGATGGGGCTGCTAGCCAGGCCAGCGACGGTTTGGATCACTCCGCCCAAAAGACCCATGAAAACCAAGGCGACGTCCAGAGTGATCGCCTGCCGCAGATTGTACCGTAGCAGTGCCGGCAGCTCCTTGTTGGCTGCCAGGGTCTGCATGCCGAAGAAAAGCGCCAGGTAGCCGAGCCCAAAAGGCAGGGCATTGATAAGGAGCACAGGCACAACCAGAAGGTTCAGCAATGGCTGGATGGCTGGTAAGGCAGCAAACAGGAACATGCCAAAGCGCAAGGCATCAGTCAAGGGCAGCAAATAGGAGGCCGCAGAGCCAAGGCGAGTCAGAAGTCCCATGTCGTCATTGCGAGGTGGCCTGTTGGCAAGGAACTGATCCCATTCGCGGCGGAGCATGTCCTTCTCCTTGCTGGCATAGGCCGCAGTCCGCTCTGCCTCTTCCTTGCTTTGCATCTCCCTCCTGAACTCTTGGAGTAGTCGCTGCACCGTGTTGAAGTCGAGCTCTTCCGGCTGGATCTTCCCATCGCCGTTCACATCCAGGGCCTTCACCAACCGCTCAGCTGTCTCGTCGTCCACGTCGGCACCCATGACCTGCTTGACGCCTTTCTGCAGCTCCCGTGCGTCCAGCTCCCCATCGCTGTTGCTGTCCAGCACCTGGAAAAGTGCCTGGCGCTCTCTTCGCCGTGCCTCTTCCTGCTGAGCCTCTAGGTCTGCCACTTCAGATCGCAGCTTCGCGGCCTCCTTCTCCAACGCCACTGGGTCCTCCTCCCTCACCTTCACTGCGGTCGATGTGGATCCCTCCGCACGCCTCCGCGCATCCGAGGCGCGAGCCGAGCGCCGCACGCCACGGGCCGCCAGCAGGGCCGAGCCGAGCGCAACCCGCTGAAAGGACAAGAGGCTCGGACGACTTCCGTCCGCAGCCTTTGCCTGAGGCACGACTGGGATGACCTTGTGCACACGGCCAGCCGTGCCAGCCACGCCTGCTCGCGATGCAACGAAAGCTGGGGAAAGAGACATGGTGAGTCGCAAGGATCGGTTCAGAGAGTCCATCCTTGACTTGAAGCCGAATTTGCTGCACTCAAAGCTTTGCTCCTTTGCACGCACTGACTTCTTGGTAAGTTGCGCCACAGTCCACACGGTAGTGGTATATCGGGTTGGTCATGGATAGGTGCTTCAATGATCTAAAGACCCTACAAATAATAAACAAAGATCCAGCCAAAGTCACACCCACCTTTGAATCGGCAGTGGACTCAAGCAATGTCTTTCATGCAGAATAGCGTGCGACAAAGACACGATAGAGCGCCATCTGAGGATTCCCATCTTCTTCTGAAGCGAACGCTTTGATCGTCATCCATGAGGCTGGGTGCAAGAATACGCCAACCTCCAAACATTTTATCGAACAGAAACCAACCGCCTAGCGCTTGATCCCATCGAATGAAAATCGCCGTGCCGGAGCCACAGGCGTCGCTCTGCTGCGGCGCGGATGTCTGCCATTCGCCGATTCGGCCTCGCCAGGATTCACAGGTGCGGGTGCCCTCCACATGTGAAGTGTGATAAATGTCTCCAGTAGCAGAAGACGAGATAAAGGGGGACATCCTGGAAGAAGCTGCCTCGGCCAGTTCAATCTATGGTTTGAACGAACCAGTGTGGGGCCAGGGGATTCGTGACAGCTGCGATCTAGAACGGCCTGGAAAGCAAGCCTGAGTTTTGCTTGCGGACAGTGTCCTCGCTTTGAACAAACAACTGGCAGCTCCGTTGAGTAATGCCAATGCCAGCTGATACTTGTATAGGACAGAAGCTCAGGTGCTCGACAGCTGCCGTCTTCTGGTCGACAGGTCAGGTGTCGTCTGCCGCCAGTGGAAGAAACATACTGATGACCTGCATCACCCAGAAGTAGGTGGATTGGAAACAACAAACACTCCAACCATATTCAACCACAATACGTTTGGTTGTTTGTCTCTGGGTGTCACATAGGTTCATTGAATCAATGCATGTGCCGCTGGATCCTCAGCTGAGGCCTTGGCTCTGGTGCGCCCAGTGACAAGCCAGCGCTGCGGGCGCCGTGCTCTTCCTGCGAAACCCGCCTATTTCCGACGGATCAAGCTCATTTGAGCGCCCAAAAGCCATGGACATCATGGACTTTCTGGCTGCTTGAACAGGTTTCTGTAAATAGGGCGTGCACTATTCCCTGTTTTGCCAGGTAGTAGATCTCATCTTTTAGATGGCCCATCGGGGATTTTGGGCGCTCAGAGATTAGCGAGGCTGAAACGATCCCGTGCGAGCTGTGCTTTCAGCTTTAAGCATAGGTCTTCACCGAAGGCGAGCCACAACCACATTCGATGAGCACCCTTAGCACATTCGAAGAGACACTTGCAAGCAGTTAGTATTTCCTTGAAGCGAAACAAAAAGTGCTGGCAGCTCTGCTGCTGCAGGCAGTCAAGAGACACGGCAAAGTACGCTATGCACTCCCCGAAGGTTGCTGAGGTGCCAGCTTCAGCCTCCGAGTTGTTGATGCTGTCAGAGATCATCTTCCTGCTGGCACTTTCATTGCCGGTTGCAGCCACCAAAATAACCTCTAGATACCTCTAGCATCAGAACTCGGCACACTTGTTGTTGTCCATCTTGCAGGACACCAACATGATCTGACCATTGTACTGTAGCCAGAATCCGCCCAAATGTTTGTTGACAATTGTCAATAAGATGCACGGGATCCATGGAACTGTACCGCGCTTTTCATGCTGGAAAGGCCCAGAATAAATTTGTCTCTGAAGGCTGCCGTTTCTCGCTGCTTCGAACTTCGAACGAAGGTAGCAGCACTCTACATCTAGATCGCATTAGTATACGAGACATGACTCTTCTCTCGTGAAACTACAATGCTGCCATATTACCTTCAATGACGGGTTTCTGTACTGTCTAGGCCAGATCGAGGTTAGTTATTGCCGAGGGCGCTCTTGCGGGGTGCTGTTACAGGGTGGCGGGCGTGATAGAGATTGTGCCGTTGCAAATTGCTGTTGCATGGGTGCTGTCGAAGGTGCTGTTGAAGGGAAACTGGAGAGCATGACAAAGAGTTGCGCAGGAAGCTGTTGCATGCAGCGGCGTGCTGTTGCACCGTGGCTCTGTTGCCGGAACTGCTCTCACACAGGGCCACATATCAATAGCAACTCTCACTGTGCACCCCCGAAAGGAGCGGGCAACGCAGGCCCGCCGGGCCCGCTAGCTGGGCCGCTGGCTGCAAGTGGTTGAACTCCAAGTCTTCGCAGTTCGTGTCTAATGGAACCTGCAGGGTTGCAGTGCCCCAAGCAAACACACACACAAATCCCCAAGGATGCGGATTCTAAATTGAGCACGCGACTTTGCTAATTTCTGGAAGCTATTCTCCTTGGGCCCGTTTCCTGAGAAAAATCAACTTGCGGCATTGGGCTGGCTTCCTTTGTCACATGCGGCGGGATTGGCATCCATCGACCCGAGAAGCCAAGCGTGGAACTTGTATGAACACATGATAAAATGCCCGGGTTGGAACCATGTTGGCTCAGGGGCTGGAAGACACAAGACAGCCAAAAACATAGTGCAACACGCTACAAGGCAATTCAACATACAAACACGTTGGCAGAACGGCTGCAATCCTCAACGGTGCGGGTTCAAAGCAAGAATGATAAGCCTAGCTACATTTGAAGCTGCAGTCCCTCCGGCCAAACACAGAGACTCACACGAGCTGCTTTCAAAAGGCCCCCTACGGTCACACACAGAGTAGAAAGGTATTGAGCCATGTCTGAACGAGAAAGCTGTGGATGTGTAAAGCTGGACACACAGCAACCTCACTGAGAGAATCCGTTGCAAATGATCCATATGCATTGTTTGACAGGAGTTTCCCTTTGAACAGAATCAATATCTATGGCGGCAGCCGCGGAGTTTTCATGTCTTCAGGCATGGTGCATGCGCAGGCCCCTAGACTCCCAACCGCGGTAGGTTGTGGGGGTTCCGGAGACTATGTGAGGCAACCGCAGCTTTGCTCCGAACACGCCGAACTCTGGTCCCACCCCTTAGGCCCGAATGCGCACGAATCCGCGTGTCACCAACTTAGCGTGCACATGTTGGCCTCTCACGTTTTGGACCTCCCTCCTCTGTTCCTGCCTCGGCCAGCTTTTGCCTGCGCGCGGGAGCGTCAAAGTCGGGAGATGCACACGACTCCACCTTTTTTTCAAGGCTTCATACACTTGCTCTTTGATAAGAGTAGATGGTGTAGTCATACGTTAGATGAGCTTGAAATTGCAACGAAATGTGTCATCCGCTCGCACCCTAGGATGTCAGGGCTGGGTTGTTAGCATGACTTGCCCGTCTGATGCTTTGGAGAAGTCGTCCATCCTTACATTGCAACTACTCTCCTGCGATGCCTTGCAACATGAGGGCCTTTTCCGACAGTGAACAAATGACTTCAACCCATGGCTTTGCCCAACTATGCCCCTCATAGCGCACGCTGCAACAGGCTTTGTGAAGTACTTCCGGTTGCGCTGGCAATGCGGGCGAGAGATTGCACCGGCGAACACTTGCTTTGTAGATTCGCGTGGCAAAAGGAGCCGTGCGCTTGTCTCAATGTGAATCACACTTCAGGTAAGGCATGATTGCATCTCAAAAGCATAGTGCTACCACTGGGCAAGTTGGACAGGAAGTTGTCATGGGTTCTTGAGGTGACTGTGGGATCTGGAAGGACCATCTCCAGAAAGAATCCGAATGATTCAAATGATCCAACGGGTGGCAGCTTCTCGGCGGTGACGGTGGCTCTTTGATTGCTTTCTACCCAACGATGCGAACATCCAACATCAGGTGTCATGGATACTTATATAACTGTTTTTCTGCTTAAACCATCTCAACCGAGGGAAGCTTGTTCTTCCAGACAAAACAAGTCGCATGCACAAAAGCGTCCCTCACGTTGTTGCCAGATTGAGCTCAACACTGCTTCACAGCTGTATTCTGAAATAAAGGAAAGCTTGCTACTCAGCTCCGTCACTCACGCAGAGGTTTAGCGTAGCGTTTGCAGGGACTCACTTTTGAACGCACGGCGACTCTTGGCGTCAGCAAAGCTCAGGCGGCTTTGGCCATTTCAGCCACGAGCCCTGCTTCTGTCGGATGCCATAGTGAAGCTCATTGAGGCCCGCTGCTTGCAATCCTGCTACTGGCGCACATGCAGAGTTGGTGTTTGTCGATGCACAAATCATGGAAGCTCTGTCTTTCCAGCTTCAGTGGCTCTGCTTGTCGACTAGACTGAAAGGAAAGCAGGAATTGCTTCCCGGGGACACGTGCAAGGAATGTATTCATGCTCAGCAACACGCTTGTCATTCCTTCAATAGTGCGGAGACAGGCCAGACTTGCATCTCTGTTTTCAGGCCAATGTCAGTAATTCTTTTGCCCTCTCTGCTTCTGGCAAACTCCCGGCAAAGCAGAACGAGACTTTCGGGGAGGCGCGTCTTTGGTTAACCAGCCAAGCGCTGCGGCCTCTTTGCAGGTCCGTTGCGCTGGGGAAACAACGCCTCGCGAACCGCTTTCGTGAATGAAACGATCTCGCGTCCGCCGCTCGCGTCAACCAGGTGCTGGTGGTGCCGCAGTGATCTCCTCTGGGACTGTGGGAGAGCTGATGAAGCCATCCACCGGGACCCGGCCCTGGCAGGGCCGAGTCGCGGGTGCGTGAAAGCATTCCGAAACCCACACATGGAAGCTTCGGCCAATTGTCAACAAAGACATGGTGCCCACAGAGTGCTGAATTTACCCAGCATAAGTGGGCCAATCAATTCACGTGTAGGTTCCCACACAGGGGTGGGGGGACTAACTCGCACGAAGCCGGAAAGGCATTCCAACTCTTTGCTGCCTGCGGGGAGACGCTAGCATCAGAACATCAAGATGTCGGACAAGCAACTCCATGAAAGCTGAGATGGCCTGCGCCATGGAATACTTGGGGGGTCAACGCACAGTGACGGTCAACACACCTGGGCGTGAGTGCTTAGTCGCCCACCCTTCGGCTGTGGCACAGCGCCTGAAGCTGCTAACTACAGTGGATGCTGGCCCGGAGGAACACACATAAAGAAAGGCAACAAACATCGCACTGGATGGATAATAACTACTTGACACATTGGGCAAGTAGTATCCTCCCTGTGATCTGGGCTTGTCAATAGCAGCTTGACCTTGTGATTGGGAAGGACACTTGTGGACATCCCTACGCTACATTAGCATTATATCATATCACATTAGATTGTATCATATTCGATTGCATGATGCAATATTATCCATGCACAAATTATGCTTTCCCAACATCCCCATCCAGCTTGTTGACTGTTGATGTTGAATGCATGCTGAGAGTGATTGCAACATGTCGCACAGCCGCAATGTTCTAAAAGAAACACATGCAAAGATGAGATCTGGCCGGAACCGCCTCTCTGCGACCACCTTTGACCGGCAGCCAAAGAAGACGGCACACCTTGTAGACCGTCCTGGCCGCCCAAACTGATGCATCAATAGTGGACACAGGTACGTCTTGACATGGAATGAGAAAGAATGGCCTCTCCTGGCTCGAAGCACCCAGTTGTTTGCTTGATGACAGAGGGGCCCAATAACGTAGAATCGATGGGGTAAGGACGAACAGTGCTTGGATGTTCGGCAAAGTAAACCAGTGGTTAGCTACTTCGGTTTTAAGCCACACACACACACTAGGGTTAACCCCACTCCGGGGGACTTGTTCGTGGATTATAGCCTGCTGTGGACGGACACAACCCTGCACCACGTAGGCAACCCTGCAGTTGTGATAGCCCTGTCCATTCCAGCCAACCATGATTTCCGGTGGTTTTATTGTAGTGCAAACAGACTTCCCAACCATCCAGGTTACCAACAACCTACTAACCTTGCTGGTGCTCAGCAAGTAATCACCCAGGGTTTTGGGAATGAGCCAGAAGGGGATTCCCTTGAAGGAAGCTACAGGGGACAGTGTTTCTCGGGGACATATTGCCTGCCCTTAAAACCAACAAGTACCTTGGCCCTTCGCGCCAACGGGGAAGGTTCGAAGGTTCCTGGTGCCCAGCAGGCAAAGGATGAACTGCAGCGAGGCATAGACGTTGCGGCCCCCGAAGTCCACGGCCAGCCGTCCAACAATGGGACCCAGAAAGCCTGCGGCTGCCCAGGAGAGGGTTTATATATATATACATATACATATGTATCAATGTATATGTGTATATTCGTGTATATATCAATATATGTATCAGATAATACATACATAGATATATCAGTATCTATAAATATATATATATATACACATATATGCTCACCCTCCTCATGATCCACGAATCGTTTTTAGGAAGTGCCTGTGGCGCCGGCGCCTGAACCCCTTGTGTTTTTTTGTGGTCAACAGCTTTCTGGAGTCTCTTTGTTCTCAGGGTTCAGGACGTTGTCAGGTGCCGGCCCCTCACAGCGCCACACGCTTTCGCCGATGCTGGGAAGCACATCCGCTCGACGGCATGCGCGCAGCAATGCTTTTCGTCACGACCAAGGTAAGCACCGGAGCAACGCGTATTGTCAAGCACATGATAAGCGCATCCGCCCCTATTGGTTTTTCACAGACGCCCTCAAGTATAGCAAGACCACTTACAAATAGAACGGCCTGAGCAGGCACCTTGTCAACCCTTTCGAATAGCAACATGCTCAAAGGCTCGGAGTGCTGAGATGTCCCTAAAAATCCTAACAGACCTAAGTCTCCGGCAGTCTTCAACTGTTCAAGCTATCAAGGCCAGGTTTGTCTAGGGGCCTCTCGACACTTTCTGCTCTTGAAAGCACAAACGGCTGAGATGTCGTTTGTTTTCTGGTTTCAAAGGCAAGTAAGTGCTGCGAGGTCCCTTAAAAACACAAAACCTAGTATGTGCTAGTCGCCAGCAGTTGTTAGCTGTCCAGGCTGTCAAAGCTAGGTTGTTTAGAGACCCCTCTTCAACCTTTGGAAGCCCAAAGTGCTGATAGACCCGAAGCACGAAAGAAGTGCTGAGAGGTCCCTAAAAAGTATCCAAAAAAGTATACAGCCGTCTTCCACTGTTCAAGCTATCAAGGCCAGGTTTTTAAGGGCCTCTCGCCTCTCGACACTTTGTGCTCTTGAAAGCACAAAATGCTGAGAGGTCCTTGTTTGTTGCATTGGGAAATTTCAGCAATTTGGGCCGCTGAAAGCACAAAATGCTGAGAAGTCCCTTGCTTTGTGGTTTCAAAGGAGATGCGAGGTCTTACGTAGAAAGCCTAGCTTCCAGCCCTCCACCATTCTTCATAGGTATTTTTTGGACTGCTAAGAGGCCCCTTGTTTTCTGCATCTAGAAGGCTGAACATATACAAAGCCTAGCTCTGACAGTGTCTGAGATTTGATGTTTTTTGTTTTCTTAGGGACCTCTCAGAACTTTGGGCCTTTGAAAGCAGACACTAAGGGACCTCTCAGCACTTTGAGCCATTGGAAGCACAAGATGTTGAGAGATACCTATTTTCTGTTGCATAAGATGAAAATCCATCCGCTTCATCTGAAAGCACTCGAACGAGCTCAGCCTGCTTCATCCGAAGCCCATCTAGCAACCAACAAGCCTTATCTAGAAAATACATCTGCTATCATTGCACGCCAGGTAAAAATGCAGTCTGCTTCATCTTAGGTCTAATCAACATCTGCTCAGAATCGGGTCAGAACCTGATCAGGCCAAAAACTCTAGGTGTGGATCATGGGCGGGATGACCATACATGACATGTGTATATATATATAATATATATATACATATATGTGTAATGAAAAGCGCATTGTTTAACAAAACACTTAATTTGATTTCAACAAAGTGGGTAGCAAGTCGAGTACAGCAACAAGCAAGGTCAGACCAGTCGCAGGGGCGAGACGCCTCCTTGGCATTCTTTGAAATGGCAGAACAACTTTGAGCCAACACCTTTGTTTTGGGCACTCGCCAACACCTTGTAATTGTTCCAAGCTCAGTCCAAAGAGAAGCCTGCTAGTGCGCAGAAACAAGCCCAGACCAGCTTGTTTCGAACAACCCTGGCCAGCCCAAATCAATGCTTGTCTCGGACTAGGAGGGGGGGGTGGGAAGACCCGTTTCACGTCCATTCCCTTGATCTTTCCACCGTCTGCCAGGGCACGGCTCAGAATCACCGCCAGGAAGTTGCGGAGCCGATACTCGCCCTGACCTCCGGCGAACTAAGGCGCCGTCGCACCCGGCCAGGCATGACATTTGTGGATTCCACTGAAACGCGTGGGAAGACTAATCTTTGGCAAGCTCCAGGGCTGCAATGGATGACACATACGCCATGAATGTGCCCCTGTGATGGGAAATACTGAGCAAATTTCGACTGACAGCATTCCACGCCTTAATTCAACAAGTTGCCACGTTCAGGAGTGACAGATGATCTTGGCGGCTTCAACGGACAAAGGAACTGAAAAGCAAACACGTGATTGGCCAAACACACCAATGTGCAAACGTGTTGCATACGCAGAGTCTGAATCTAAGAAACCATTACCCCCAGACAAAACTGGGGGCATTTACAGCTGCATATCCCATTCAAATCTAGGAAGGTAGCGGTTTGGGGGTAGTGGAAACCGTCTTAGACTGAACATACCCGAGATGGGGTCGGTTCGGCGGCCAAGCCGCTGAAGCTTGTGCCCTCCTTGGCAGCTCTGGAGGCCCAGCCCTCCGCAATGCCATTGGCCACAGTGGCTCCTGACGTATCGAGAAACGCCATCCTGGCGACCCACGATATGAGCAAGTAGAATTCTACACCATACAGACCATACACATCTAGTATATATGGTTCGCCCTTGAATTGCCATGGCAACAAAGCACAGCAGCATTCAACCCAGCTCAGCTCCTGTGTAGATACCGGCATCTGCCACCAGTAGTGTCCACGCCCTTGAATGACCTGCCAGCCATTTGCATTTTGCTTAACGTTAAGGTGGCCCTGGGACGTTGAGCCGTGGCCTCGGCCCTGCAAGGTCTGGCCACACTCTGCTCCAAGCATGCTGGATCCACACTATCCACACATGGGTGTGGTTGTCAAACATTCTCCAAAATGGAGCCTTGGCACATGGAAAGGACCAATACACGCGGTCCATATCCTGGTGATTCGATTTTGACCCACACATCTACGTGGCCCGCCTGTGTCAAAGAGAAACATGCAGCTCACCAGAGGCAGTGAGGCTGCAACCATGAAGGCTGCTGATTCCTGGCGGGGCGCCCTGGGCTTGCGCCTTGCAACTCCCATCCTCAAAAATGGCCCCTTCTCGTGCTACAGACTTTCAATCATGATCATCACGCATGACCCAATTGCCTGCAGCAACACACAAACCAACATACGCTTCTCAAACATTCACAGGTAGGGAGACCTCCTGCATGAACTTTGGAACCCGAGTCTCCTGAAGGGTTTTTCCGCTTTCTTTATTAAAAAAAAGGTTCCGCGGAGCCATGGAATACAGCACGGAGATCAGCATACAGGTCGACTTGCAGCATTGGGGCCGTATCTCCAGAATGAAACAGCAAACTGCCTTGCAATGGGGAACAACTCGAGATGGCAAAACCAACTACATGTATGTCATATTACAGTAACCTGTAAACACATTAAGACTTTATTACTGGATCTTTGGCTAACAACAACGTGGCAGCACCTTTTTGCTTGACTACTTAGATCAAGTGCTAGACCATACGCAGAACACAACTTGATATTGTGACTTGTCTCTCTCGCACTCTCTCGGCGGTCCGTCACGCACTTCGTTTGAATGAAGATGGTGACCACAACTGTTGCAAGGATGCCAAAGGAGCAAACCTCAGCAGACATGGACGAATGGCTTTTGGTGTTCTACTCTGGCCAGAGCGGGCTGCAAAAAGCAAAGTCACAGCAGCCATGAAGGCTGCTTTGAAGAGATCTTCACCATCCTCTCCTGCTGAGGAATGTCTCGTTGCGCAGCAATCGCGACCCCTTGTACGAGAAAGTGGTGCTGAAACCTTCTTGGCATAGGAACTTGGTCGGAATCCGTTTGCTAAGGCGTGCGACATACCAGCCTCCCAGTCAAACGGGGCGCCTCCCTCCCATCCAGAGAATCCAAGCGGCAACGGTGAACACGATGCCGCTGTAGTATGGATCCTTGCAATCGAGTGGAGGGAGGAATGCTTTCATCCAAACCAAATGCTGATGCTGATCAGGTCATTTGCAAAGTACACGCCAGTCTTGCTGGGCTCGTTAGTGGTGGTATCCATCGAATCGATCCTTGTCGCTAAAGGGGACGCCGCCTAAGGAGCATTTGGACAAAAACACGAGCGTTGGGTGCCTTTGCAATCCATTGGTGGCCCGGTTCAGCGCTGGAAACGGGAAAAGAAGGGAATATAGGCCGGCAACCACATGAAGGGACACACGCTGGTTGTTTGCAGCTCTCTTGAAATGCTGGTTCTTTGTTCAAATTTGAGGTTCTAGGCAGCCACGATTGGATCCACTGCCATTGGAGGGGGGGTTCCCATCTTGCGCTGCTCTTGCGCCGTGGGCCCTCGCCGGCCAAATCGTTCATGGCAGGTCCTGTCTGACGCTAGCTCTCTTGCGTTCGCTCTTGCGCCGTCTTGCGCTGTACTGTGCTTGTCGCGAGTTTCCCTAATGATTCACTGGCTCCCACTGTTTTCACTGGCTGTATCCGGGATGACCTAGTAGGGAACAAGATGATTACTCTCACTTGTCCAGAAGAACCTACAACAGAAGGCTCACCAATCAGTGCCATGCTTAAAGGAGAACCAAAGGTTGTCCTGAATGCAGCAGTGGCATGGCAGTCCCAGGACCTAGCCGAGCCACCCATCCATAGTTCAGCTCCAGCATCATAACAGTGCAAACCTCCACGGCAGCCAACCTATGCATCAACTGAAACACATCTCAAGTGTGAGGAGCTGGGGTTCGAATCATTGTGCAACTGACAAGATGTCCATTGATTAAATACACAGTCAATTCGGCTAGATTGTTAGGACAACTAAATTGTGAACACCCTAGACAGACAGGAAACAATCTGAAGCCTCTGACAACCCTTTCAGGCTTCCTTCCGGCACAGCCGGGTGAAATATTATTTTGCTCCCTTCTTCTATGGCGAAATTGTACACTCTGGCTTCAAAAACTCATTGCCGTCGTGGAACTCATCCAACAAGAACAACTTGGCCACTTTGCAAGGTCATGATTGACCCTGCAGCTCAGCTCAACTCTCTATGCTTCTCTCAGATCATACCGCACATATGACATAGCGAAAACAAGTGTTTGTGGCTGACTTGGCGTTCGCTGCCTCAGTTTCTGTGGTCCTAGGTCCTAGTGAAGCATCCGGTTGGAGTTGTTTTTTTTGAGGTGTTGAGGGTCACCCAATTCACACCAGGCTCAAGGCAAAGCGACGTAAACGGGCGCTCGAAGGAGTACAGGATCATGTTCTTTACCTTGGGCAACGCAAAAGAGGACGGGCAGCTTGCAGGCCACTTGCCGGGGGGGGGGGGGGCGGCCTTGCAGCACGATCAACGAGCCAAACAAATCCACAGGGCGTTTACTGACTGGCTATATTTGAAGCAGAATGCGGAGCGAAGCAAAAATTATGATGCGCAAAGTTAATACTCACAATATGACGCGTAACGACATGCTTGCCGCATCATTTCTTGTCACCCCAGGGAGGCCTGTGACCTCTCGTTCTGGCATTACAGGATGAGTCTGCCGCTGCCTTCTGCAGGAAGCGTCGAAGAACTTGACCCATTGTGCGCTGGCAAGGTTTTGCACATGAGTCATGAGTCCTCTGAGGTCTTACTGGCCATGTACAGTGGCATGCAAAAAGCACACGGGAATGCACACCACAAATAAACTCGCAGGTAACAGTTGGCGCGACGTGCTTAAGTGGAGTGTGCGGAGGTAGACAAATTTCAAATTAGTGCATATTGGCAAGCTTGCTCCGCATAATTTGAACCTGTAGGTCTTTGAAGTAGCTTGTCATGATATTATGGTAAACAGCCAACCAAATCAGCCTCGCCTGATACTGCCTATTGTTGTGTATGACAGCGACGGCTGTATGTGCGTCGCACATGGCTGGAGATCGCTGGCTACTGATCTGGCCACAGAGCGGTAGGCCCTGCAGTCATCGGCGAGGACTCAAGACAAAAACACTGTTCAGTCTCTTGGTTTCCCAACCCATCTGCACAAGAAGATAACCCTCCTGAGACCCCCAGCCACGTATTCTCGGTCTTGGTCGGGCAGGTCCTTCATACTTCGCTGCACAAACCTCCCTTTGAAAAAGGCCCGCCGGGTGGGTTATTCTTCGAGCTTGCTTGACCTC